TTCATTTCCGATCAGCCTGCATCAGAGCAAAAGTATCCAAGCTTTCTTGGCGACGTTCTCGTTCCTCCAGACTTTCCTCCCCTTTTCAAGGTGCAGCACGTCCAAAGGCTTGCAGGAGAGTTCGGCTGGGTCCTTTAGAAACGTACTTGCCAACTTAAATTGCTAGCTTAAAATCCGTGTATTTTGAAGTATTTTGAAGTATTTTGTGTTTTGTTAGTTTTGCTTTGTAAGATATTTAAAATAGGATAATCACTTTAAGATATCATATGGAGCATAAGGACTGCCTTGGGCTTGCATCTGTCCTTAAGTTTGTTTTATTATATAGCAAGTATATTAGTAATGACATAAGCAATGTTATTATTATTAATATTACTTAATGATCGGACATAAGCAATGTGGATTGACTTTTTTATGATACGCTGTACTAATAAAGGAAAGCTTCGCTAAATTTCTTTACTAGTTTTAATTCATTGAGCGCTTTTCTAATTCCCAAGACACCAGAGTCCGTTTTATAGTTTCGTAATTTCCCGATTCCCGTTTATCCTGACGAATTTCTGGGGGTTTTTTCTGTTCTTTTCCCCCCGTACATATGATTAATATTACGTATTAATAAAATAATTCGTAATTCCCCGATTCCCTTGTCCCCCCCCCCCGTTCCTCGTTCCCCCGTTCCCGCATTCCCCGTTCTCCCATTCCACGTTCCCCCATTCCACGTTCCCCCATTCCACGTTCCCCCATTCCCCGTTCCTCCATCCCCCCATTCCACGTTTTCAATTACAGAGAAGACGATATTTTTGCCTGTATTCAATCTACAAACACTAAAAATAAGTTTACTACTCGTATTTTACTCGTATTCTACTCGTATGTACTCGTATTATACTCGTATGTACTCGTATGTTACTCGTGTGTACTCGTATGTTACTCGTGTGTACTTGTATGTTACTCGTGTGTTACTCGTATGTACTCGTATGTTACTCGTATGTACTCGTATGTACTTGTGTGTTACTCGTATGTTACTCGTATGTTACTCGTATGTACTCGTGTGGTGTTTTAGTCACGTCTATTCTTGATACGAGACTGGGTTGGGGCAAGACAACTGTCAAAAGTTAAAACTGTATTGGTCAATTTCCTGATCATATACTAAACTCTTAAGTAATGAATATCAAAGTACACTACATGAAACAATCATTCACACACTTATTGAAGGCACAAATGATTTTTGTATGATAACATTTTCCTTATTTATATATAGCATACGGTATTGGCGGTGACTTATACTGTACTACACATATCATTATTGATAAAGGGTATTCATCAGTTCGAAAGATATGTACTCTCGTACAGATATTTTTTCTTGCGCCATTTTGATGTAAAAGTTCTGGCAAAACTTAAAATTTGATTACTATTCATTGTCAAAATAACAAATTAAATCATACATACCTTGACGTATATTTTCTTTTTACACTGATACAAAAAAGCAAAAACATGCAAAAATATAAAACAACATTTATGTTTTTTTGGTTCAGATTACGGCGGGGAT